TTGTTTATTGTTATTTAGTGTATTAGTGGCCATTATAGCATAATGAAGTGTGGACTTCCTGTGAACCACTTAAAAAAGAATTGGAAAACTTCTTTGGGTTTTTCTTCGTTGGGAGGTCAATTTTAACTTATTTGTACTATAAATATATTTGAAATTATGTTCAACTTCCTGTATTATATTTTATAACTTTTTTAGTTAATATTTTGTATTTTAAGTGTTTTTTTTTTATATGCTAAGGGTATCTTTTAGCCTAAAAAGTGTCCATTTCCAGTCAAGTCAAGAAAATGCCAATAAAATGCTGTGCTTTGTATTTTTTTTTGCTTAGACACAACATTTAACAGACTTATTCAATCAATATACATATATGAAATTATGTTCTACACTGTTTTATATTAATAATAATATTTTTTTGTCATTACTTGACTTGTTAAGCATTATTTCGAGATTATTAAAAAAAAAGGACTTTAAAAAGCAGTGTTTTAGAATATTTTTTGAAGGCTAAATATAATTTAATTGCGAAGCTTCTATTCTTACATTGTGTTTGACATTTTTCTCTATAGTGAAATGCTGAGCTTCAGGGAATTAGCGCCCCAATTTGCTCAATTTGTTTCTAGTCATCATATAAAATTTTGGGCTATAAAATTTTTTATAATCTGTTCCATATACAATTTGGTTAAATTTGTATTCATATCTTATATTATTTATAGTCTTACTATTGCTTTTCCTGTTAACAATTTTATGCTCTGAAATCAATATGTACTAATCCAGTATGTGATTTAATATTTTTCTTATCAGTGGATGCTCTGTATATATATATATTTTTTTTCAATTTTATTGTTTGTGATGATGCTTTGCATATTATTGTATTGAAAGTGTACTCTTAAAATGTATTACTTACCACTCTTAATTTGCAGGCACTTATGTTTCCTCCATCATTATACGAATATGTTACTGGTATACTAAAGAAGGACTTTATATTAGTAATAAACAAAATAGATCTAGCCCCTCCTAGCTTGGTAGTGGCGTGGAAGCATTATTTTAAAGAGAAGTACCCAAATTTGCATATAATAATGTTTACAACACTTCCTGGATACAATTTACATGGCAAGCAGTCTAATGTTGCAGGTAAGAGTATACAAAATGATCTTTCTTGGTGTAGAACCTCCAAGGAGGCGATATAAACGGACTGGGAGGGGGATAGTTTTTTCATTATTGCATTGATAACATTTTCTTAGGCCTTCAAGTAAGAAGAAGAAAAGGCAGAATACGCATGGCGGCCGAAGGTGCCCAACAAATTCTAGAAGCTTGTAAGAAGATCGTCGCTTCTCAAGTAGATTTAACTTCATGGAGCAATAAAATCAAGGAGGAAATGAATATTGAGTACAACGACCAAAGTGAGGATGTTGACATAGGAGAAATCGTTCACACAAAAAACGTAGATACCGAGTTTTTCCAGTATGAGAAGTTTAACAAAGGCATACTTACTATTGGATGTTTAGGTCAACCGAACGTGGGGAAGTCTTCAGTGATGAATGCATTGATGGGAAAGAAGGTGGTTAGTGTATCCAAAACACCTGGACACACTAAACATTTTCAGACGATATTCCTCACATCCAATGTTAGACTTTGTGATTGTCCAGGCTTGGTGTTCCCTTCCAAAGTTACTAAACCGTTACAAGTGTTGATGGGAAGCTTTCCTATAGCTCAGCTCAGGCAGCCGTTTACTACTGTTAAGTATATAGGTAAGTCAATTAGTTTTCTTATCTAGATGAATCATGGACGTATAAATAAACGTCCATGAGATGAATGCAGATACTTTTGAATTATGACAAGAATAATATGCCAATCAAGTCATTGTAACTTTTGGGTCAGCTATACAATGCCGTTGTGTTACAATTGTTCAAGAGAATTGACGACAAATACTCGCTAAAATGCTTAGCCTGCTGTAACACCCAAAAACATCGAATTGTTGGTTCTTTCGCTTTTCAGTCATAATATAGTCCAAAATAACTTCGTTGTCAACTTACTACGAACAATTCCTTTCATCTTATTACAGATTTTTGTAGTAAATTTGCGTTATTGTGTAGATGAAACTGAGTTTTTGAAATGAGTTATTTATCTTTTTGTTGTTTCAGTTCGCTTCCAGGGGAGTTTCGTGAAGGTCGCCAAAAATTGGTTGTTGTGCTAATACTGTTCAAGAGAATTAAGAACAATTACTTCCTGCAAATGGATTTTTAGTCTGTTGTAGCACACAAAACATCGAATTTTTGGTTCGTTTGCTTTTCGGTCGTGATTTAGTACTAAATAACTGCTTTTTCAATTTGCTATGACCAATTTCTTTCATCTTTTTGCAGAACATTTGTGTGATTGTGTAGATGAGGCTGATACTTAGTTCTTGAAATGAGTTATTTATTTTTTCGTGGTTTTAGTTCGCTTCCAGGTTAGTTTCGTGAAGGTCATCGAAAATTGGCTGTTGCGACACCCAAAATATGAAATGGTTATATTATATTATATATTATATATTATATATTATTATTAAATGTGTTTCAGCTCGATGCGAAGCTTTGTTAAACCGCATCTAGGGCTACATTTTATTACAATTAAATATATAAGTAAGTTTAACTTTATTTAATGAAGTAACATTACGATTCACTGTGTTTTACTCATTTTTCTAATATAATCATGGTTTTAATTGTCTTCAAGAGGAATTTCGTGCATGTCGTCCAAAATCGCAGGTTTCATTGTACAGAATTACTGGTTAATTTACTTTACGAACCTGATTTAGCAATAAATGACTTTTTCTTTAACTTTCCTCAGACGACTTACCTTCTTCTTTTTACAGTTCATTACTTTCTAAGCCACTATTACACTTTTTTGTCATATATATTTTAACTTAATCATGTTATTTATCAATTGGAGGCTTAGTACTCTAATCTCTTTAAGAGTACTGGAGCTCGCACAACTATTTCCTTGTTAAAATGTCATCGTTTTTTGTAAGAATTTCCGAACAGCATGTTTAGTTATAAAACAATTTTATTTGCAGCTGAAAGGCTGGACCTAGTGTCCATTCTAAGGATTGAGCATCCCACCAACGATGACACTTGGTCAGCTATGGATGTATGCGACGGATGGGCGAAGAAGAAAGGGTTTTACACCGCAAAGGCAGCCAGATTGGATTCTTACAGAGCTGCTAATAGTTTGCTGAGGATGGCTCTAGATGGAAAGATTTGTTTGTGCCTCAGACCCGTTGGTTACTCAGATAAGCAAGGTAGATCTTAAATATTATAACAGAAATTGCTGTAATGTTACTAAGTAACCACTGTTATCACTTTATGTGAATATCTTATATCGTTTTCTAGATTTCTGGAAACAGCATCCTGATGTTAAAGTTGTAGAATGGATCCTAGCAAAATCTGATGTTGAAACTGAAGAATGCACTGCTTATGATAGTGATAGTTCGGAAGAATTGCAAAAAATATGTGATATAAAGCAACAGGAGGGTGGAGAGTCAAATAAAAGTCAAGATGAAACTGATACATATAGTGATGAAGATGATGAAGATATTAGACTTACTACAAATAAATTTGCAGCTTTGGGTGCTGATTTGAACTGATTTGTGTAATACATATATTATGTAGTCCTGTTTTTTATTGAAAATAAAATCTTATTATTTTTGATTTTACTTTCCTTTACACATAAAAATAAAAGTCCATTGGAGTGATATAAAACAGTTTTTCCCTATTATCTCCTGTTTATATTCTAAATTTAATTGAGCTGTGCAACAAGCTTTGTTATAACTATATTCGAAATTGTTGTATATATATATATATATATATATATATATATATATATATATATATATAGACTGGTCCAAAAAATGACAATGTGATATGTAGTTGTGTTTTTAACTGTTTTGTTTCTTAAATGTTCAATGTTTTTTAATATTTGTATTGTACTATCACACTGGAGGAATATAACAAAAATGTACTTGTATTGTTTGAGTTTTCAAGCCACCATATAACACATACAACTTATTTTTTTACTTTAAAAAAATCTTCAAAAAAGTTTTTCAACATGGAACTTTCAAATACCACTTTTGCCTGCAACCTCACACAACATTCGTCTGAAGATGTTAAAGAAATTTAACGAAATATAACGAAATATAACGAAATCGTTGAAAAGAGCACACTTTGGCTTTCATTATTCAGCTGCTAACCCAATTAACCTTACCATTATACTATATAAATATATATATATATATATATATATATATATATATATATATATGTTCGGATAGATTTCCGCGGTCAGATGAATGAAAATCACTAGGTTCTCGGGAAGAACCGCGTTGAGAATTTAAATCTCGACGTTTCGGCTCCCGTTTTGGAGCCATTATCAAGAGGGATACGGTTCGGTTCGAGTTCGGGGTCTCAATCTGCCTACTCCCCTCACTCGACACGTACCAGTATCGTGTTCTGTATTATAAATACAAGAACTGTCTCTCGGCACTGAGGTCTCAATCTGCCTACTCCTCAGTGTCGAGTGACTCTGAGGACTCGACACTGAGGAGTAGGCAGATTGAGACCTCAGTGCCGAGAGACAGTTCTTGTATTTATAATACAGAACACGATACTGGTACGTGTCGAGTGAGGGGAGTTGGCAGATTGAGACCCCGAACTCGAACCGAACCGTATCCCTCTTGATAATGGCTCCAAAACGGGAGCCGAAACGTCGAGCATTAAATTCTCAACGCGGTTCTTCCCGAGAACCTAGTGATTTTCATATATATATATATATATATATATATATATATATATATATATATATATATATATATATATATATATATATATATAATAGAGTTTTTGAGTTTAATTGATGAAATAATATATTTAAATTCACAATCACATACACATCAATAACAAATTCAATAATTGAATTTTAAATTTCCCGCGTACACATGACAGTATAAATTGAATACTCGTGTTTTGATTGGTTGCCTGGATGACAACATTGACATTTGTGGACATGCTCTTTCTTATCCTTCTTTCTAATTTTTGACAGCTTCTATAGAAGTTTATCAAGTACGTGAATTTTAAAAATCATTATATATTTTAATCATCCATATAAATTTTCAAGTAATATTTATTTTTTCTCCTAAACTTAATGTGTTATAATGATCTATTTGTGATATTGATGTGATTTTTTCTAAAATTAGTGTTCAACAATAATAGCCCTTAACCTAGAAATATAGTGTACTTGTTTTTTGCTATTTAGTGTTTAATATTCGGTTGAATAATAATTTTTCTTTTAGGATGTTGATGCCAAAAAAGAATAGAGTAGCTATCTACGAATACCTCTTCAAAGAGGGAGTCATGGTAGCCAAAAAAGATTACCATGCCCCAAAACACCCTGAACTAGAAACTATCCCTAACCTTCAAGTAATTAAGGCTTTACAATCACTTAAATCAAAAGGTTACGTAAAGGAACAATTCGCCTGGAGGCATTATTATTGGTAAGCGTATTTCTTATTTACTTGTTTATTGTAGGTTATAATGTAGATTATAATGTACCTGTTAGCTTTATTTTATGTACTACTAATGACTTAATTCTCTCATTATTAAACTCAGAGTGTACAAGTCTATTTTTGCTATGGCTTTTGCAATAATTCAGAAAGATCTAGTAACATAACCTATTTGCCAAATTGGATTCATATTTTCATCCATTTTTTTCATAAGCTTTGGGTTAAAGCCCAAAACCTTAAATAAGAAAATTATAATCAAAAATGGAATCTAATTTTATAAGTAGATATAGTGTTATCTAATTTTTTTAATTAAATATTCTGGCATTTTCCATTTCCATCTTGGCCTATTTACATGCATTTGCTTTTTGGGACGATTTTCAAATTTGGTCCCATTGAATATAGCTTCAAATGGGTTTGACAGAATAAACTATTGGTGTTTCGCAGTGTTGAAATTTACATGACAAACGAAATATACACAATTAATAGCAATAAGATATTTAAAAACTAATATTTAAAAAATTAATATTTAAAAAAATAAAGCAATAAGATATTTAAACGATTATGACAAAAGAAAAAGTAAATAGTTTTAAAACAGTTTTTAACAGTAAATAGTAAAATGTCAGTAAAAATAATAAAATTTAAAAGGCATCTGTTGCAATCTGGCAGCTGGTCGTTTGAGGGTTCTGGCTCTATTTCCAAATCTATCCCCTAACCTACGAAACGGCAATTGCCAAAAAAATTTTCTGATAATTTGTTACAACTAATATCAAATGAAACAAACATTACTTCATTAATATTTTATATAAGGTATAAAATTGCAGAATCCATAAAATAATATGATAAAAATGTACCTTTTAAAAGCTTCATCTCTTTGTATTTGAAGCATATAACATATACATTATAATAACATGGCAATACTGCCAACACAATATTTCGTTCTGTGAAACTTAATTGACAGCTAATTTGAGGCTATCTTCAATGGGACCAAATGTGAAAATCTCGTCCGATTTTTGTTTAAACACATTTTAGAATATTGTCTACACAATGTTAAATTTTTATATATTCTTAACAATAACTGAAAACTATCAATTGTTTACAAAAAATGATGTTTTAGGTATTTGACTAACTCTGGCATCGAATACCTCCGCACATTCTTACACTTGCCTGGAGAAATTGTCCCATCTACCTTGAAACGCCCAGCAAGGGCAGAAACCACCCGTCCTAGGCCAGCTGCTCTCAGATCTGAGACATCTAAACCTTCAGAAGACCGTGCAGGATACAGAAGGACTCCTGGTGGCCCTGGAGCTGATAAGAAGGCTGATGTTGGTCCAGGAACAGGAGATGTTGAGTTCAGGCAAGGATTTGGACGTGGACGGGCACCACAATAAATTTATTTATAAGTTAATTTTTATAAATTGATCAGCCAATAAAAAGTTTGGTTACAATGTTGTTTTCTTATATAGTTTATTTGAATTTCACTTGACATGGTATTTGCTTGCTAAATAGATAAATTTAATTCGTAGATCACTGCTATGCTTGTTATTCATTCTTTTTGCCTTTTTAAGGTTGTTTTCTCATGGTATGCACACCTTCAATTTATGCATTTAGTTGGCACAGACTATTTAGAATCAGTATATAATCTTTCTATACAGTGTAGGAAAAATTTTATGGTCGGTATGGACCTTACGTGAGATGGAGTGAGAAACAGCTGTTTAAAAAGAGAGAGGTATATTAGGTACGCCCTTTATATCGCCGAACTCTGTGGCCGAACCTTCATGCCTAGAAATAACAAAAAAGGGGAAGTTCAACGTTGCCAAACTTATTGGTTTTATTTGACCTGTTGTCTTTTTTGCATTTGAGCAATGTTCTATCAAGAAGATAAAATGCTCAAGATAATCAAATTTGGGCGAAATTGATTTAAATGGCAGGTTACTGTTTTTTTTATTGGGAATATGCCACAAGTTTTTCTTTACAATAATTGTAATATAACATTTTGATTTCCATTTCGGAAATCGTTTTATATAAATAAAATTTATTAATGTTTCGTATTTTAAGTACGATTTCCGAACTAAAAATCTAAACATCAAAATAATTTCCCAATATGAAATAATAAACAATTAAACATGCATACAATAACGCCACATTAAAAAATATTCATACACTAATTCTTTGGCAACGTCTAGTCTAGATAGTCTTCTGGTCAAAAGATCGAGTAACGAGAAGTAGAGGTGGGTCGTGCTAGTTTATCGTTAAGAGCGTAGAAGCAAAATTTCGGGCCAATGTTTTTTAAAAGCATTCATTTTTTTCGAATCCTGAGAAAACTAATAAATATTTTTGAAAAATTTAAACGCAGAATGAAACAATACATTATTACCGAGAGCCGAAAGTCCCTGAAAACTTCTATAATGTTTATTTTAATAAGTTATAGGGATGAAAAAAAAAACAAAATTTAGTGTGATTTTTAATTTCAAATATCTCATTAAAAAAACTTTTTGTTTATTCTAAGGGACTTTCGGCCCTCGGTAATAATGTAATCTTCCATTCTGCATTTAAATTTTTCAAAAATATTTGTTAGTTTTCTCAGGATTCCAAAAAAATTTAAATTTTTTTAAATGCTAAAAATCATTTAAGCAGTTTTAAATGCTAAAAAGCATTTAAAAATTTTAATTTTCATAAACAAGTAACTATGATTGTTTAAAAGTAGTTTCAAGTAAGAGAGTACCTACATAAACAAACATAACGGCTATTATCGTTTATGTGTATATCTTCTGAAGTGAAAGAAACTACCTAATGATATATTTATTATAACTTGAAAAATAAACTAAACAATACAAATAGTAAATCGGACTTACATTTACATTACACGTTATTATTAAATCGCGAATAGTCTAAATTGACATAAAAACATAAGTTTTTATGTCTCAGTTACTCCAGATGTCCAGAGGTCAGTAGTAATACAGATATTTTCTACTTCTTTAACAACTTGTGATCTAATAATTTGCTCACTTTTGACATAACATTCCTGAAGTAATGAACCTGACAAAGTTTTTCTTGTTGGCGGTTTATATCCAGGAATCCACCCTGCAAACTTTTAAAAAGCTGGTTCTTTAACTATGGAAAACGGATGAAACGAAAAGTTTAGTAAATCTTGAAAATCAATCAGTCCAAGAAAAAGAAACTGATAAAGATGACTTAAGTCCATGGTGTATTTTTGATGAATTAATTGGACATGACTCATCTAAACATACACCTGTATCGAGAGGTATAAAAGAAGTCGACATGTAATTGTCTGATGATATATTACCCACAAACAATTTCGAACGGAGATTGGAACTGTCCATTACCGTGGTGAAAAAACCATCGCCATGTATATCGTAACTTAACCACTATATTCATAAAATGTTGTAGTATTGTAACAAAATCTTTTCCTTGTGAACACATGTTTAACATCTGGTATTATTTTAAATAAAAGAAGAACGCGACTAACAAGAAAAGTGGAAAAACTTATGTTTTTAAATGTCAATTTAGACGATTCGCGATTTAATAATGTGTAATGTAAATGTAAGTATTTAAGTACCATTTGTATTATTTAATTTATTTTTCAAGTTACAATAAATATATCCTTCGTTAGGTTCTTTTATTTCAATACTTATACACATAAACGATAATAGCCAATATCGATACATTTTTGGCAAAGTAACATAAGTGACATTTTTGGCGAAAATAATGTTTTTCAATTAAACTAATGCTATTACTGTTAAAAAGGTACTGAAAGAGTGTAGTAAGCCTAGATTTACTTTAAACCTTTTTTTAGGACAAGTTTTTTCAGTCATAATTTAAATAAGTTTAAGCAGGTTGAATTAAAAAATTGTTTTTTCTACAAATCGTTTTTGGTGACTTACGTTACTTTGCCAAAAATGTATCGATATGTTTGTGTACTCGCTAATTTGAATACTGGTAAACAATCAACTAGTTACAGTTTACGAAAAACGGTTCCGATAAAAATTAAAAAAACGAGAGGACCCACCTCTAGTTTTTTAGGTATATTAGGATCGGAACCAGAGAATATCTGATCGGAACTAATGGCCAATGAGTGTTAAAAGGATTTTAGGAGGGGAGACGAAGGGGAAATATGATTGTTATCTTTGTCTAATTCGCTGAAAATATGATTTTATATCTGCGTTAGATATCCTGTTAAATTTTACCATACCGACCTTAAAATTTTACCTACACTGTATATGGTTTTAAATACCATATTATATTAGTAGTACAAATTACTCAGTGTGTACCTCTGATTTGTTGTCTAAGCCTATATTTAGTGCTTCTATTACTCCATAATAACCAAGAATTTTGTTTACATTGCTGTTATATTAACTCACAAGTAAAGTTTCATCACTTTATATATTAAGTTTTAATAGATAGTTAAAGTCACTACCAAATTATTGTAGAATTTATTGTCTACATGTCATTATGGAGTCTTTCTAATTGATGTGATTACTAACAAAAGCAGGTAGCAGGTTTAACCATAAAAAGATACTACCATCACTCAAAGATACCAGCCTTAATTTTTGTCTTATAGTTAAATATTGTTGAATTTAGATACCAACTAGTTAAGTAGTGAAAAAATGTTATCTTTTACTTCCAGTAATTGTTTTTCGTATAAGTTCCTTCAATTAAAAAGTTCTGAATTTGAACTTAGAATTTTTCTGGCAAGTAGTGAGACATTGTCAAGTACAATTACAGCATTGACTGGTAATTTAGGAATGAAAAGTGTTTCATACTGCTGTCGAATATTATGATAATCTAAAAATGAATCTTGAATATTGTTAGCTGATAGTAACAATGCTCTATCTATCCAACTGTTTCATCTACGGTGTAAAATAATGATTCTCTTCCCCTTGGGAATATCAAATTTGCATTGTTTACTAGGGTTTGTCCATCTTTTCTTTACTAAATAAATAATACTGTATTCTGCTGCTCTCCACAAGTGACATTCTTTTGTTGATTTTTTTATATTTAAAATTATTTGCTTTAAGAAATCATTTAAGTGTCATTTCAGAGCCCCATTGTAAAATAGTTTTTCTACAATGTAAACTTTCTATCCTTGACAAATTAATAATGTATGTAGACATTTCATAAATGATCTTACTGATTGTTTTCTAGAGATAGGATTCAATAATTCTGAATTGTCCACTATCACTTCTCTTCTTCCTGGGTGTAATTGGATTTTTCAAAATCTGATACACAGTTGATTGAGACACTTTAGTTAAAAATATTGTTTCTTATAGCTTCTACAGTAGACAATTTCGAAGTTCATTATGCACATTTGTAACTATTTGTTTTGCCTATGGTGATAACATAATTTTACTTGTACTGGTCTTATGTTTCTGTCAGCATATTCTTACTCAGACATTTCTTCTTCATAATATACCATCCAAGAATGCTACATTTTGTCCTAATTCAAATATAAAATAACTAGGTACAAGCACAGAAGTTTAACCCTGCATTACTACCCATCAAAAATTGACATTTACTATCCGGGGTACAGGTGTACCCCAAATTTAAAACATGTGTTTGCAAAAAATCAAATATATTTAGAAAAGTACAAAGTTGTTGTATACAATGATTTCACATTATTAGACATAATTATTAGTTTTAGTTAATGCAATCTGGGCACACTTTTAACTACTGGTTCAGACATATGTATTTTTTGCACTTCTTGCATGGTATCCTCGATTTTCTGTCTTATTTGCTTGTACAAAAAGCGCATCTCCCGGAAGAAGTTTGCCTTTGGTGACTTTTGTCTACATCGGGTACTTCGCGCAATCTCAAGGCTCAATATGCAATTTTTTTTTCTATAACAGCTCAGAGTTCTTTTGACAAAGTTTGGATTCCGAGCTCTCTCATCAAGGGACTAACTAGGTTTTTTTAGGTCTTCTGTTCGGTATTAATTCCTTTTCTCTTATCACTATCTTTACATAGAACTATGGAATTAATTCCAACGAGGTCTAATCAATATTATAAAAAATTCGCAGAGGCCAGCATCTTAGCTAGAATTTAATGGCTTGTTAAAACTTCGTAGCCAGTCTGACTTCTTTCCTGTTGCATATCATTATCTTTGGAATCTGTGCCATTCTTCGGAACATGATCATCACCGTTGAAAACTTGGTCATTCTCCAGAACATAATCATCATCAGAATCTTCGTTATTTTCCGGCTGGGTTCCGATATATAATTGTCTAGTCTATTATTAGGTCATCCTCAGAACTAGCATTTTGATCGTCGGGCTAAAAATCTGAGAGATTTTCGACTATTTCCTCTAGTTCTTTTTGAGATAATGGTCTGCGAGCTTTATTATCCATGTTTATACTGTAAGAAAAAGCGCATTTAAAACCCTAACTTCATCAATAAAACAAATTACCAAAATCAACGCACGTGTAACGTTCGGT